ATTGTTGTAGAACCCAGTTCAGTTTTGATATTTTGACCATGATTTACAGTTGACTAGACTAGACATATATCACTATTTCAGATAAATCAGACAAAATCTTACATGTCGTTCGAAATTTGAGTAGTCGGAGAACATGGCTAATATGTAATACAGTATATATAGAGAAGACAATAATTTCGTGACATTGTTATGAAAACGCATTCACAGCTTTAATATTTTAACCATGATTTACAGTTGACTAGACCAGATCTCTATCACTATTTCAGATAAATCGGACGAAATCTTTCATGTCGTTCGAAATTTTTGTAGTCGGAGAACATGGCTAATATATATCTATATACTATACAGTATGGATAAGACAATTATTTCGGGTCATTGTTAGCCTGCGTGCAGGCCCAAGGGAACTGATAGTGGGCCTGCAACCATCGCCCGGTATTTTGTAAAACGCCCCTTTTCATAACACGCCCCATTCGCGCGTCAATTGTCAAAAAAGAACCAATGACAGCAACCCAAATATTAACAAACAAACTCGCATTAAAATGTTGAGCGGGGTTTTCTCTGCTTTAATATTCAAAATAGAAACAATGTGTAACCCAGCGGGCAAAATGACGTTTATCCAACGTTAATTCAACGTCTGTTGGCTGCTGTTGAACCAACGTTTGTACAACAACGTCAGAGCAACGTAGATATTAGGTTGTCGACGTCGCAACCTTTTTTCTACCAAATTTCAACGTTGAAACAACGTCGTGTGCCCGGTGGGAAATGCCTGTGTTAAAACTAAAAAAAAAACAAGCAACGCAGTCAGTAATTGCCAAATTTACAAGTGCTCATTTTCAACTAAAATCGGAACAGGCAAATTAAGACGAATTTTAACAGAAAACCAGTCTCAAACTTCAAATCGTGAGGGAAGTCGTGCGACCACATCAGCATTTATAATGTTGCTTCGCTGTCGCCATTGTTATAAATAAATTGTCTCATTTATCAGATCGTGTGTGCAATTCTTGTTGGCGGCGGAAAGTACGAAATTTATTTCAGTTATTTCATTTGGTAAAGAACTCTACAAAAGAAGAGAGCGTTCCGAGTCCAGATCGTTTCGTTTCAAACGGCAATTTAATACCGCCTTCTGTTTCGCTCTCTCAGCGAAGCCTTGTAAATCGCAAAGTGTTTCGAATAGGCTTACAGTCCTTACATGCAACTGCATCTCAACATCAACCCCAAAAGATAGTTTTCTTGAGGAAGTGAGAACACATAACGTATCAACTGAAGTCTGTTTGAAATTAATGAAACTCAAGTAAAGGTTGCTATAGTTTACCCCAGTCGTAATTTGCTATTCCAACACCTCACGACAAGCAATCCCCATTGGCATAACGGCAAAAACATGTCTTCCTTCAAGTAAACAATAAACAGTCTGTTCTTGTTCCATTTGTAATCGAAAAAAGTGTCAATTTTCAAATTTTAAGCTTATCGAGAGCCTTTGTCTATGCCTTTGTGATGAATCACTGTTCCCTGGGGCTTGCACGCGGGCTAGGTTAATTAATTACCGATCGCCTCAGCTAGCCAATGGAAATTTAGCCGGCGGTTCGGCCGGCGAAAATCGAAAACATGGGGTGATGGTTGCAGGCCCACTATCAGTTCCCTTGGGCCTGCACGCAGGCTAGGTCATTGTTATAGAACGCATTCACAGCTTTGATATTTTGACCATGATTTACAGTTGACTAGACCAGATCTATCTCACTATTTCAGATAAATCGGACAAAATCTTCCATGTCGTTCGAAATTTGAGTAGTCGGAGAACATGGCTAATATGTACTATACAACATATAGATAAGACAATGATTTCGTGTCATTGTTAAAGAACGCATCCACAGCTTTGATATTTAAACATGATTTACAGTTGACAAGACTAGATCTATATCACTATTTCAGATAAATCAGACAAAATCTTCCATGTCGTACGAAATTTGAGTTGTCGGAGAACATGGCTAATACATACTATAGAGGATATAGAGAGTTCAGTGACATCGGGACACATTGATCGGGACATTGTTATAGAACGCATTCACAGCTTTGATATTTTAACCATGATTTACAGTTGACTAGACTAGATCTATATCAATGTTTCAGATAGATCGGAAAAAATCTTCCTTGTCGTTCGAAATTTGAGTAGTCGGAGAGCATGGCTAATATATACTATACAGCATATAGAGAGGTCAGTGATTTCGCGACATTGTTATAGAACGCATTCACAGCTTTGATATTTTAACCATGATTTACAGTTGACTAGACTAGATCTATATCAATGTCTCAGATAAATCGGACAAAATCTTCCATGTCGTTCGAAATTTGAGTAGTCGGAGAGCATGGCTAATATATACTATACAGCATATAGAGAGGTCAGTGATTTCGGGACATTGTTATAGAACGCATTCACAGCTTTGATATTTTAACCATGATTTACAGTTGACTAGACTAGATCTATATCAATGTTTCAGATAAATCGGAAAAAATCTTTCTTGTCGTTCGAAATTTGAGTAGTCGGAGAGCATGGCTAATATATACTATCAGCATATAGAGAGGTCAGTGATTTCGGGACATTGTTATAGAACGCAGTCACGACTTTGATATTTTAACCATGATTTACAGTTGACTAGACTAGATCTATATCACTATTTCAGATCAATCAGACAAAATCTTCGATGTCGTACGAAATTTGAGTAGTCGGAGAACATTGCTAATTTATACTATACAGTATATATAGAGAAGACAATGATCTCGGGACATTATTATGAAACGCATTCACAGCTTTGATATTTTAAGCATGATTTACAGTTGATTAGACTAGACCTATATCAGTATGTCAGATAAATCGGACAAAATCTTCCGTGCCGTTCGAAATTTGAGTAGTCGGAGAACATGGCTAATATGTACTATACAACATATAGATAAGACAATGATTTCGGGACATTGTTATGGAACGCATTCACATCTTTGATAATTTAACCATGATCTACAGTTGTCTAGACTAGATCTATATCACTATTTCAGTTAAATCGGACAAAATCTTCCATGTCGTTCGAAATTTGAGTAGTCGGAGAACATGGCTAAATATTCTACACAACATATAGAGAACACAATGATATCGGGTCATTGTTATAGAACGCATTCACAGCTTTGATATTTTAACCATGATTTACAGTTGACACTGCTAGATCTATATCACTACTTCAGATAAGTCGTACAAAATCTTCCACGTCGTTCGAAATTTGAGTAGTCGGAGAACATGGCTAATATACACTATACAGTATATAGATAAGACAATGATTTCGGGTCATTGTTATAGAACGCATTCGCAGCTTTGATATTTTAACCATGATTTACAGTTGACTAGACTAGATCTATATCACTATTTCAGATAAATCGGACAAAATCTTCCATGTCGTACGAAATTTGAGTAGTCGGAGAACATGGCTAATATATACTATACATTATATAGAGAAGACAATGACTTCGGGTCATTGTTATAGAACGCATTCACAGCTTTGATATTTTAACCATGATTTACAGTTGGCTAGACTAGATCTGTATCACTATTTCAGATAAATCAGACAAAATCTTCCATGTCGTCCGAAATTTGAGTAGTCGGAGAACATGGCTAAATATTCTACACAATATATAGATAAGACACAATGCTGTATACATTCAACAACGTCTGACATATGTTTGCTTTTCCTATCCTTTGGTGGCTTATTACCGTTGTCTTTAAAGTCCCATTCTAGAGCTTCGTTGACTAAACTCTTTGTCAGGATATCTGAAAATTTGGAAAATCAAAATGAAATGAAGTGGAATACATAGGGTGACATGGTGAACTCTGCCCACGCATAGTACCAGTCTTTATCTTTATTCATCATATAACAGATAAGGCTTAGAGTAAAGATCTTATCTCAAAATGTTTAATGCCGCAACAACCAGTTTCACCACTTAGCAATCTTCAATCACTTCAAAACAGGTAATGACGGCACTGACTAAGTAAGTTACGTACACTGTAAATTTCAGGGAGTTAATTCAACTCCAGTGGTATTATTCTGAACCTAATTTTACTCCACATTTGGAGTTAATTGAGGTACAGTATAACTCCACCGGAGTTAACTTAACTCCCTGAAATTAACAGTGTACGTAAACCGCGGCGAATATAATGTCACAATTAGTTTGCAAATAGCAGTATAGCCCTTAGTACGCTATCGGTTCATTTGGAAATGCTTTTAGGAAACAGTGCAATTTTTTAAATAGTCCTTAGAAGTGCTTACGTCACACGGTTTTTCCTACATGATTCCGGCAATATTGCATTCCAATTTATTGTTGGACACTAGCGTGGCGTATGCACCTCTAAGGTCTATTGCACGTGGGCTCAAGTAGGCAAGCATCTCGTGTTACTTTAAAACTTAGAACTAGTGAGCTGGCCGTCCGAATATTAGATTGTTGCAATTATTTTTTGGAAGATATGGACGATAAACGTGAACAAGGTCAAGGTATGTAGCTTCGTGCATATAATTTGCATCTAAGTTTCGACATCTATATGCTTCGTGCATATAATTTGCATCTAAATTTCAACCATCTCATGATTGAGAAACTTTATAAATATTCATGACTATAAAACACGTGGAGTCGTTATAAAACAGTACAAAACTCAAAAGGATCTGTTTTAGTAATGAGGTCCATTTTATATTTCAAATAGATCGGGGGGAAATCTTTGATGATGGCAAAAAGGAGTCATTGGAACAGGCACAGAAGTTCAATTCCTTTTTACAGCCTGTTGCTCCTGCACCAAGAACAACTAATGCGCCTAAGAGGAAGTTGGAGCAACAGTTACCACCAATAAAAAAAAGAAAAAAGAAAAGAAAAAAGAAGGGCAGAATTTCTAAAGGAAAGGAAGAAAAAAGGGGAAGAAAGTCTCCCAAAGAATGTGAAGGCAGTGGTTGGGATACAGAAGTCTGGACTTCTGACTCTGAAAACAATGATGATCCTACTTTTGCTAACCCTACTTCTGCTACCCCTACTCCTGCTGACCCTGCTGATACTCCACCACCACTAGTAAGACAAGATGCAATGCCATCACACTATTTTTTCTGATATATATATATATATATATATATATATATATATATATATATATATATATATATATATATATATATATATATATATATATATGTATATATGTATGTATGTATATATGTATTGTATATATATATATGCAATACTTATGTTAAACAAATCATGATCTGACCTGTGATCCGAAGCATTAAATGTAGCTCATCCAATACAACATTTTCAAGTTTAACTTCAAGCAATGGCTTGTGTTGGCATGAAAACTGATTCTTTAGGGCACAATCTTGGATGTCCTTCAGTGAGCGACAGTTGTGCATTTCCCAGAAATCCATTGGCTTGGACATGTCCCATCTAAAATCAGTATCACAACATTCTAATATTATTATTTTATTAATGCAGTAATCTGTATATAATACATTTTGTGAATCTGAATTATTTATAGTTTTTAACCCTTTAAGTGGCAAATTTGCCCAGATGTGCCCTACTTTATTATTTTACTCTGTCTAACGCCAGACAAGCTTACTCGTCAGGGGGAATGTGCCACTCAACGGGTTAAATAAATTATTCAGATAATTTCATAAACTGCATTACACAGAAAAATATTGCTGAATTAAGCTAACTTTCCTACTGTTGCATTTAATTGATACCTTAACAGGGATTTTTTCAGGGATTTTTTAGGGCCGTTAAACGGCACCAAAAACTCAATCTTGTATTGAGTTTTGAAACTCAATCTTCTCACCAAAGTTTCAGTGCAGTAAAAATAAAGTTGTTTGAGTTATAAAATGTTGTGACGTGTGGAAATTAGTTTTCAGTTGGAAGCCCGACAAGCCATCTTTAACCATTTTATAGTCATATAGTGTCCCTGCTTTAACACATTCCGTCTCAATTACATTTATTAAGTACAGGTGTCAGCCCCCGGTAGGGGGGGGGGGGGTGCAGCCACCCCAACTGTTCAGCTAAACTCAATCTTCTCTGCAAAAACGGACCCAAGAGAAAATCCTAGAAAAAACCCTGCTTAATAACTTGTGTATTTTACACCAAATACAAGCATAATCTGAGGTGGCTCCCTTAAAACCAAGTATCAACAACAGAAACTAAAATATAAAAACATATATGATATATAATATGCCGGTACATAATTAATATTTAATAAATATATAATTAAAGTTCATACTATGTATGTACATGTAACCCTGACACAGTACTTGGGCACGAACAAACTTATTTTACAAAACCAATAGAATAATGCCTGAATGCTAACTTTAGAGGTAAGGCCCATAATTGGGAATTCAATGCACTTGTTTGATGAAGTACTGCATTCAGATCAGTAGCCAAGCACTGTGTGAAGTTGGTACCTATGGTGCAAATATTACCTTGTAATCACCTCCAACAAATATTTCAATGGGGACATCTTTATCCTTGATTTTGATTTTCCCTGCTCTTACCAACTTGTTGATGTCACCAAATATCTTTGAACATGACATTTTCAGAAGATCATAGTCCTCATGGCCCTTGATAATGGCACCTGTATGGTTCCCTAAATGAAAAATACAAGCAAAACAGTATATTTAAGCCATTGAGTCACATTGCATTTATTATTTTACTCTGTCTAATGCCTGACCATTTTACTTGTCAAGGGAGAGCGCTTGCGCTTAATGGGTTAACTGGCCTATCTGCCTATGTGTCTAATTAATTGAGTCGCATTGCACCCTAGTTTATTATTTTACTCCATCTAACGCCAGATGATTTACTTGTTCAAGGGGAGAGCGCTGGCGCTTAATAGGTTAATAAAATAAATTAAAACTGACATAGTTAGATTTTACATTAACAATATTTGACTAGTACACAAACTGAATCCACTAAAGATAAACAAAATTATAGGGGAATACCTTTTGATGACATCACAGTATCTTCGGCATTCAATATTGAAAAGCTGATAATTATAAAATTGGTCAGTCTAGTCATCTTTGCCCCATCGCCACTGATTTTCACCTTAATCACAGTATTTCCGAGTTCTTCATTTGCCTCTATCTGAAAATTGAAGGTTGTGACATGAGTAAATGTTTTTATAATTGTAAAATATTATCAAATATTCATTGGATCTCTGATGATTTGAACATTGTAAACAAGTCAACTTTTGCCTCAGGCCAAGAGTGATCTTCAGGCCCAAGCTCGGAATGGCTATATTGTGCCAGACAACAATATTTCTGACCATATGATAACTATATTTCAGAATAAAACTTACCATTTCGTCACTAGTAATCGACGTATTTACACATTGGAGCTGTGATACTTAGCTTTGCAAATCATTTACCAAAGCAACAGTGCTAAGTTCGCTGTGACGAACAGCAACACTCTTTACGTTTGCAAGTAGATTTTGCCGAGATCCCCCACGTTTCCCGAAAAGTTGTTTTGCTACTTTCGTGCAAAGAATACGTAAGCGTTCATCGACTCTTGAACAGTTTTCCTGAATCTTTATTGAATACTTTTTGCCAATAAATGCATTCAATATTTGTAGGTACGTGCATTCAGTCAATGTAGTTTGCTTTACATTGTGCCAACTGTTTAGTTGTTCGAACGGAATGTGAAGCGTAAAGGCAATCTCTTCAATATCAACTTCGGATCTTTTAATCAAGTTTGGGAAATGCATAGATACCCAGAGCATTTGCCATAAATTTGCATTAAATTTGTATTAAATTTGCATGTCAGAGAAGGCAAGAGACCGATTCTAATTTCCCGCTACAATGCGCGATATTCGCTGTCGTGAGTTACCATAGTAACGAGACAGGAAGTAAATATGCAAAGGGAATGTACGCTGAGCAGTAACACGCCTTCTCGCATTGTATTATGAAAGAATGCTCTGTTTCTGAGCTTTATTTTGGTGTATTGCTCGACGAATTCCAACAAATATAACATTGAAAACTTTGCGTTCAAAGACAAGACATTCGAGTTTCACGTTCCAACTTACAGTCTCAAAGTATTTCTGTCTTTGAGCTTAAAACATCGCTTTTTGATGAACATAAATGACACATCAAACAACGTATATTTTACCAAATGGAAAGGCCATTGTGTGGTATATTATTCAAACTTCGCAATGCAAACAGAACAAATGGAAAAGTAATGCTGAGAAACTTACTGGAGGTCCTTCAATATCATGAAATTCGGGATTTTCGTCATATTTCCACAGGTTAGTATAGAATAGTATGCCTATATTTTCTAGTTCGGTTATTTTAATTTATGCAGGGGCAGATCTAGCTTAGAATCTGACCGTATCATATTCCTAGGTCTCGCATAACTAGGGGGATCCGGGGGCATGCCCACCAGGAAATTTTTTGAAATTTGAACCCCGAAAATGCCATTTCCTGCGTTGTGAGCTGATGATTCTGTCCTAAAATTTGGCCTGCACCTATCATTTGTTTCCACCACCCCTGGGAGGGCGGGCAGACCCAGGGGCATTTGACAATTTTAATTTTTTTCTGTCAAATTCCCCACCCACAAGTTGGATTTAGTTGTCAAATACCCCTACCATGGGGGAACAATTTAAATCTACATTAATGCGTTTATTAAGTGTACCTTTTATTGTATTAAAGTGTATAACAATTTAAATAGTAAGTTTCACAATAACTTAAATTATCCAGTGAAAGTTAAATTTCCCATCTGTTTTCAGCGAAACAACGCCTGGCATCCTACTGAATACATTTATGAACATAGAACACAAAAACATGTAGTTTAGTTTACAGGATATCACAGAACAGCATAAAGAAGTTGCTTTTCACTTTGAAAGCATGCACATATTTTAATACATTATAGAACAAATATATAGTAGAAAAGAAATTAAAATAAAAACACTCACCTTTGAATATTACTGCAACTTCATGCAAATCGCTATCCTCCAAAAATGAAAAAACATCTTCCACAGAAAGGTTCTCCATAGTGGCGAATTTTTAACTTTTTATTAAACTTCTTTACAGTAAAAATTTAATACATGTATGCTGTTTTATATACTTTGACTTCCGGTTTCGCGCGTTTGTCAATTGCCCGACTCTTGGGTTGCATTTTTCTGTCAAACGCCTGTCGCTCGGGAACGAATTTGTTGTCAAATCCCCCAGGGATGCCCGCCTGTAATATTATTATAGGCATAATTTATGTTATAAATTATAGAGTAATTAGGTATTAATTATGGACACATCCGGGTAATGGATTACTATATAAACAAGAACGAACTTAGATATTAGGTTATATCAAAATACGTACACACTTGTATCGATCGAAAGTTAGTGATTAACAATACTTTTACATGGTGTCAGGTGTGGGATTTGTGCTGTTTATTAGCCTTAGCTAGGCTAACGGCATAAAGACACTAATTCAAACCAAAGTAATTTGCTCTGGTATACGAGAAAAAAGCCGATTGAGTTTTCAATTCAAATATGGCGACAAGCGGAGCATACATTGACAAAGGTCCTTCTATAGACTGGAGCACGGATGACAACATATATGGCCGCTTTAAAATGTGGAAGCAAAGATGCGAACTGCTACTCACGGGCCCGATGGCAACAATGTCAGAAGAAGTGAAATGTAAACATTTGTTATACTGGTCTGGCGAACGTGGCATGGAGCTATTCAACAGTTGGGACTTGTCAGCAGAAGATCAGAAAAAGCTAGTCAATTATTGGGAGAAATTTGAAAACTACGCAAAGCCGCATTCAAATGAACTGCTTGCAGTTTGGGAACTGCATAACCTTCGGCAAGGTATGTTATCTCTTGAAGATTTTATCACTAAACTAAGGATTCTCATTAAAGAAGCAAACTACCCAGCCGAACACTATGACCGATTCCTTAGAGACTTCTTAGTCCTCGGAATTAATTCTGACCGTGTTCGAAAAGATTGTTTTAAGGAAGGGAACACCCTGACATTTAGCACAGCCAGGGAAATGGCAAAAACCGATGAGTCGGCAGAAAGACAACTGCAATTAATGAATGCTAGTGAAGTAAATAACATTGCATCAATTAGGGACAAAAGATATCAAAACCGAAGAAATCAAGTTAGACATAACCCTAGGTCTGGCATTGGAAAAGGGCAACAGTGTAGGAACTGCGGTCGGGGATCACATTCTCAAGATCAGTGTCCTGCCAAAAACATGACATGCCACTACTGTCAGAAAGTAGGACACTTTGCTAAAGTATGTTTGTCAAAGTTAAGGAATAAGAATGTACATGAAGTTGAAGCCCTTGCTGATAATATACAACAAAATCAGCTGCAATCACCTTGTGTGGGAGAGGAACAATTTGTATTCCTAGGACCAGTTGTTGCCACACCTTTGGCTGCTCAAGTGCATAATGTGTCATGCAAGGAGAAAGCATTATTAGAAGTTTCTATTTCCCTGAATAATGAAGGGATGCAATCGCATGTTGTATGCAAAATAGATTCTGGTGCCGAGACAAATATTTTGCCCATGTCCATATATCAACAGTTGAAACATGAATCACATAAGTTAGGAAAGCCTACAATGAAATTGACGGCTTATGGTGGGGCTGAACTACCAAACCTGGGATCATGCTTTGTCTTTGTAAAGGTACCGGATATCCAGAAATTATGGAAAATCCAGGTGCAAGTTGTTGATGTTAATGGCCCTATGATAATTGGCAATAAGTCTGCACAAAATTTGGGTCTCTTAAAGCTCAATTGGGCCATTTATGTTGGGAATCATGATAATAGCTTCAACAGACACATCAGTAACACCAGTGCCACCACCAGTAACCAACCCAGCAGTAACCATCAACCACCAGTATCAACAACCATGTCTCATCCACCATTATCGACCGCCAGACCACCACCTAAAGTATCGGCCAAGCAACTCAACAGTACAACTAGCCCCCTTGATGATAACCCTCCAGATGTGCGGGGGAAACGTCCTTTTCCACTAACCAAAGAGTATCTTTTAGAGGAGTACTCGGATGTGTTTACAGGAGTCGGTTGTTTTCCTGGAGATCCATACCATATTGAAATGATTCCTGATGCAGTTCCTGTACAACACGCCCCCAGACAAGTGCCAATTCAATTGCAAACACCATACAAAGATGAGCTGGACAAGTTAGTAGAGTCTGGGATTTTAAGCGAAGTCCAGAATGAATATACCCCATGGGTCAATTCAACCGTAGTTACACAAAAGCCCAATGGAACCATTCGCCTATGTTTGGATCCTCGCGATCTTAACAAAGTGATCAAGCGGAACCCATACTATGTCAGAACCATAGATGATGTCATACCAAAAGTCAGTGGTGCAACCCACTTCAGTATCCTAGATGCACGTTGTGGATGTTGGCAAGTCGAACTCGACGAAGAGAGCAGTCGTCTGTGCACTTTCAACACCCCATGGGGCAAGTACAGATGGAACAGAGTCCCATTTGGACTCACCTGCAGTGGTGATATATTCCAAGAAAAGATGGATGCGACTTTTGGTAAATTAGATGGCTTAAGTGGGATTGCAGATGACACCTTCATCTATGGAAAGAATGAAGCTGAGCACGATCAACGCATAATCGACGTCCTTGAAACCGCAAGAAAGAACAATGTACGATTCAACCCAGATAAATTTCAGTTTAAAGTAGAAGAAGCATCGTTTTTTGGGCTAACGTGGACCCCTGGTGGAATTAAACCCGACGAACATAAGATCAAATCTATTAGAGACATGCCCAGCCCAAGTAATTTAACAGAGCTGCAATCGTTTTTGGGAATGGTGAACTACTTGAACAGATTTTCTCCAATCTTATCCCAGATATCATTGCCTTTGCGACAGATGACGAAAAAAGATGTACCATTTATGTGGCAACCAGAGCAGCAACAAGCTTTCCAAGAGTTGAAGCAAGTAATTACAGAAGCTCCAGTTCTATCCTATTACAATCCTGAGAAGAAAAATTTGATCCAGTCAGATGCAAGTTTAAAAGGAATTGGGTGTGTGTTGATGCAAGATGGTAAGCCAGTATGCTATGCAAGTCGGTCACTGAGCGAAACCGAGTCACGGTACAGCAATATTGAGCGAGAACTGTTGGCTGCCTGCTGGTCCCTGGAGAAATTTAATCATTATGTGTTTGGCAAGAAGGTGGTAAGCGAGACAGACCACAAACCGTTAGAAAGCATATGGAAGAAGAGTATCACTAGTGCATCGCCTCGCCTACAGAGACTTCTCCTGAGAATGTCGAAGTATGATGTTGATCTACGATATATCGAGGGCAAGAAGAATGTAATCGCGGATGCCTTGTCCCGAGTCAGCTGCATGGAGCCACCTGTAGATGGAAATGAAGTGCCGTTGATAGAAATCAATGAAATTTCGAGTACATTACCAGCAAGTCCAACAAAATTGGACGAAATACGGGAGCAAACAAGACAAGATGCTACCTTGGATCACTTGAAAGAAGTTATACACCACAGATGGCCTGAGTATCCTAGCCAGTGTCCTTCTGACTTGAAGGAATTTTGGAACTTTCGCGAAGATCTTAGTGTTGAAAACGGCTTGGTACTGAAACGACATCGTCTTGTGATTCCAAGCAAACTCCGTCAACAGATGTTACAAATTGTGCATCAGGGCCATATGGGCACAGAGAAATGCCTTCTGAAGGCGAAAGACTGCTTGTTTTGGCCTGGGATTTCGAATGATATTAAGAAGATGACAACTACTTGTTCCACCTGTTTGCAATACTCGAAACAGCAATCGAAAGAACCGCTACACCCTCATAACGTTCCAAGTTTTCCCTGGCAAAAGGTTGGAACAGACCTTCTTGAGTACAAAGGAGCACAATACCTGCTGGTAGCAGATTATTACAGTAAATATCCAATTTTACGAAAGTTGAATGGAACGACATCAAATGCTGTCATCAACCAATTAAAGTCAATATTTGCAGAATATGGAATACCTGAAACGCTAGTATCAGACAATGGCCCACAATATAGCAGTCGAGAGTTTTCAACCTTCTGTAGCCATTGGGGCATTGGCCATAGTACAAGCTCACCACTGTATCCTCGAAGTAACGGTTTTGTAGAACGAATGGTTCAAACTGTAAAGAACTTACTATGCAAGTCGGAAGCTGCAGGTGAAGACCCATATCTTGCATTACTTACATATCGGACAACACCCGTAGACAACAACTTACCGTCACCAGCCAAGCTACTAAATCAACGAGAATATCGGACATTATTACCTTGTAGCGGAAGGCTACAACGATGCCAAACAACGCCAGCAAATCAAGAACAGCTTCAGCTGCGTCAAGATGTTCAGAAACGTCAGCATGATGTGAACTCTCCACGTGTGTTGTCTAAGCTGCTACCAGAGCAGAAAGTGGTGGTATTCCAGCCTCGAAAGAAAACGTGGACTCCAGGAAAGGTCATTCAAGAATCAAACAAGCCAAGATCGTATGTGGTTGAAACACCCAACGGGGGCGAAGTTCGACGTAACAGGATACACCTAAAACCTGTAATCGAGGATGGCAGACAACCAGAAATAGACCATATGACGAGTGGGCAAGACTGTTCAAGTTCTAGTTTACAAGAAAAGATTCGTACCAGTGAACCTAACCTGGAAACAGCAAACAAAAGCAGAAAACTAGAAACAGACATATCAGGTGATGATCACCCTGTGACAACCAGAAGTGGCCGTATTATAAAGAAGCCAACTAGATTGAATTTATAAGACTGTATAAACTTTCGGACACGAAGGACCAAAACAAGAAAAAAAAAATACTAAACTTAGTAGGTAATTTCGATAAATATATGTAATCATACTTTAGGGAAGAGATGTAATATTATTATAGGCATAATTTATGTTATAAATTATAGAGTAATTAGGTATTAATTATGGACACATCCGGGTAATGGATTACTATATAAACAAGAACGAACTTAGATATTAGGTTATATCAAAGTACGTACACACTTGTATTGATCGAAAGTTAGTGATTAACAATACTTTTACATGTAAAGTGGAAAACTGGAACAAGACATTCAACCATGAAGCATATGTTCTTTCCATGCATGAACAAAATTTCAAATAAAACTTTTATATTTACAAAATGTTTTAAAATGCCCTCAAAATTTAAATGTTGTGAGTGTTATAAACTGCAATAATATCTAGTGCAGAAGGCCGAAGTGAAGGGGTATAATTGAAGTATTTTCTGATGACTTCCTTCATGGGTATCTGCACACTTTCCAGGTGGGAGGGCTGATCATGATTTTGCAGCTTCCTTTTGAGCATGTTGCATGGCATCTCATCATTCAAAGTATTGGTTTCATATTGAAGTACCAGCCCACTGTCCCAAATGTCCCTCTTCCGATTTCACTGTTGATATTTAAATCGAAATCGGACTTTTTAACAATAGGTAGCATGGGCTTGTAATTTTCTGTATCCTTATCTGTATTGGCTACATTAGAACCAGACGTTGACTCTTTAATGTACCTGCTTTCTGTGTTTAAACTGCCACTTTTTGGTATGTTTACTTGAGCAGAAATCTCTGTAAACTTTCTGACCTCGATACTCTGAGACGTTTCAGAAACACTACGATGGTGCACCGTAACAGTGTATTTTCTGGAACTCCGAACAAAAATGCAACAGCAGTTTTTGCCTGTTTTAATTTTGACACCGTCTCTATGCCAGGAGTAGGAAGCATCGTCAGACATGTATTTTGATGAAACAACACCAATTATCAATTCATCGCCATCAAAACCCCAAACTTCACTTGGGTGGTGAAGAATAATGTTCTGCTTCTCTTCTGCATGTGAATTGGGATAGTGGTAGGTCGCGACATTATTTCCAGATTAGTCTAAGGTTAAACTTAGCTGCTGTAGAAAACACACACCATCTTAATTCCGATCACACTAAAACCCTCGCCCAAAGGATCGTATTCTTCTGCTTTTTCTATAATCTCGGGATCTAGCGTGGATGACGCTTCAAAGCACTCAGACTTAGAAACACACTGGTGTCAACTAATCACTTGCGAATATGATGACTGTACAAACCTTTCGTATGTGATCGCGATGTAATGTTCTTCGTATTCTTTATCAGAACACAGCAATTTCCCATTGGAATCACAAACATTGTACAAGCTTTTCACACGCTTGCTACTTGTGAATGATGACGTTGGGGTGCTTTCATCGAGTGGTAAATCATGTTCTAGTGTTAACTGTTTTTCATCATTGTGTTCCATTTTGCCCTCACTTTCACATTTTCCTGATGTCATTAGATAAACATAACATATGCTTGCAAACAGGCCGTGGGATTTCAGATATGTGAAAAAATCACTCTCTTTTCTATTTTTTCTTGTGAAAAATTTCCCAAGCTACAGTCCATTGAAGACAGAGGGCCTTTCTTGCTCACTCCACAAGGAAAAAAATAACTTTGCTCCTTTTTAGTGCAAAGTCCGGCTTGGACTATTGTTAGTAGAAAAATTGTTAGTAGAGTGACTGGTCAATAGATCTATCTATAGTGTAAACAATCCGGGGGGTGTACACGAATTATGTTCGTGGTGATTTATTGTACTTAGTCAGTGCTTTGAAGGTTGTTTAGGCAATTTCAGTTGTCTTATTTCAATATTCTTTAGGCTTTTTGCCAAGTTCACAAAAATTTCGAGGAATCATTGTCGTTATAGTAAATTTTAGACCAATTTGCTTTTCATGTTGTGCAAAGGATCTTTCCCCTGGAACACCCAATTTTTTCTTTAGCAGCGCAAATGTACATGCACTATCAAGCTGTAGATCAATGATGGCGTGACAATGTTACGAAATGCTACGAAGGAGCGATACAGTTTTGTTTTCAAATATATTAAAATATTTCAGACGTGAACATTATTAAGTAAATCTTTGAGAATCTACGCAATATATAAATTGATGTCATGCATTAATATGGACATTCAATCAAGACCCAAGTACGGATATTATTTAGATGGTATATTCATTATACAGAGCTGGGAAGGAGCTAGACAGTGCTTTTTTTCAAATGTATAAATATTTCAGACATAAATATTGAGAAAACCTTTGAGATTCTAGGCATTCAATTAAGTGTCTATATTATTTTGACGGTATATTCATTATACAGAGCTGTGAAGGAGCGATACAGTACATGATACAGATACATGAGAAAATCTTTGAGATTCTAGGCATTCAATTAAGTGTTGAATATTATTTTGACAGTATATTCATTATACAGAGCTAGGAGGGAGCAATAATATTTAAACATTTCAGACATGAATATTGAGAAAATCTTTCAGATTCTACGCAATATTTATATAAATTGATGTTTTGTATTTTACCGGCATTCAATTAATACTTACAGTAACCTTTTATAAGTGCCAATATATATTGTTTAGACCGTATATTCATTATACATCTACTGTATAAGGTGCTACACCACAGAGTTGATGGCTACACTCAGTACAAAGTCAAAGAGTGAAAAATTGCATCAGATCAGTAGAGTATTAAACAATTATTACATTGTAATACCATAAACAGAAGCGGGTGTTTGTATGATTGTATGGCATTTACGAAGAAAATAACCAACAAAATAACTTGCGAGACTATAAAAGAAAATCTCTTGACTGGTCAGAGCTCTTTATTCAAACGAAAAAGACGAGGACTCAGATAGCCAATGTGTTACCACCAACCGCTTGACTTCCCAGCAAGCTTTATGAAATAGAAGAAAAACGCAAGGAGCTATCCAACATGTACAGTTACGGGTCTTGTTCACATGTCTGGTACAACGGTTCAAACTCGTGTTCACTGCTATAAACACTGCTATATTAAACTGTTAAACTATTGACATCTAAAGTGACATTATTGAATACTTGCGAAAAGCTTAAAATGACTCATGAAAAATTCTCACGAAAAACAACTTGAACTGATCTTGGGAATATAAAGTCAAATATGGCAATCGATACGATTCAAAATACAATGACGCACTTATATTACTTTGAGAGTTAGATTTTCCTTTTAATTTTCCGTTTACACATTTAGATAACGAGCTCCGCTTAATGCTACTATTACTTTATTTCAATAAATTTAAATACCTATGTATCGTTACACGCAAAAATTACATATGAATAATTACCATGGAAATATGGAGAACATTACCTATGCAAAATTTAGTCATGAACATAACATTTAATTATGTAGGCTAAAGTTACATACCTAACTGTCAACACTCTTAAATAGAATCACATAGGTAAATTTACCTACGTAACTGTCAACACTCGTAAATAGAATCACATAGGTAAATTTACCTACGTAACTGTCAACACTCGTAAATATAATTACATAGGTAAATTTACCTACATAACTGTCAACACTCATTTAATTAAGTACATATAGTCATAGGGTGTGTAAATGTCAGCAATCATATTAACACAGGACAAGGTATTTAGTACTAAAGCACGCTTGGCTTTTCTTGATTGTTTATTAGTAAATCTTTATTATAAGTACAATAATATAGTAGGCCTATATTTGTTTTAGTTACACATACAATTCTAGAATTGGTACCAAATCATAAGTTTACAATGTAAAGGTTATCCCTCGACTTTCCAACAAAATGCGAGTTCTCTTGACTTTAACCTACAAGCTGTATTGAAACTTTGGCTTCTGACAGTCTTGCTGTGGAATCAATGCCAATGACAATACTGTACAGGAGAACAACAACTTCATGAATCACTTTGTTCTAAAACTGCAAGAAATAAATACATTATAAACGGTGTTAACAATCACAGTCCTCCTCTCAATATTTTATGGATTAAACACAACAATTAAGATATAATTTAGCAAGGTCTAGGACAAGGGTGGGATTCGTGGAACAGTTCAATATCGAATACAGTTATTTAGTTAGAAAATTTAGGGAAAATTTTATTACATAATCTATTAATTAAGTTAATATTTTAGAACACACACAAGTTTGAATCAAGCTAATTTTCTCTATTCGCCATCAGGTTTCTGACACAAGTTTGATTTCTTCAAAGACATGAAATTTCTTATTTCCTTAAATGAAATAACTCTTTAACCTGTAGTGTAACTTATTTTTCATTTTCTTATTTTTTTTATGGTTTGTTCCCGAGATATTTCAATTTGTTTCATATGTAAATGAGTGTGAATATATCTGCTATTTTATGATGTCATATTGGTGCTGATGCAGATGATAATTTCAAACTTCACTCACTGGTATATGTGATGAAACAACCATTGTAAGTTGAGCTTGCAACCAACATGACATCATAAATTAGCAGACACTCATTTACATATCAAACAAATTGAAATATCTCAGGAACAAACCATAAAAACAAGAAACTGAAAAATAAATCACAGTACAACTTATAAAGAGTTACTTCATTAAAAAAATCTAAATTTTATGTCATATACAATTTAAGATGTGAGAAAAGAGTTGAGTTGAAAAAAATAAATCACATTATTATATGGCAAGCATTTGTTTTGATGAATCATGCAATTTGATTGGCTGCTGACGAGGCAGGATTTTCCCATATTGCCCACAGGCAATACGCAATTTTTTATTGCCCGGCGACGGGAGCCGAGTTTCAAACAGCAAAAAGTGTCTAAAAGTCTTTCAACCTATTCAAAACGAAGAAAAATAAACCTGAACTAAAGAAAAGGAGCACCTTCTATTGTTAAAGAAACAGAGTCATTGTGCTTGCACTGATTATATTGTGTGCAACACTTCAAAACTACAGTAGATTTTGTATATAACATTTAAAAAAATATCAATTATTAAATACTATTAAAATTTAATACAACGAAATAGCATTCTACGTTGATAATGTTAATTATAGTTAAATAATAATTATTTTCAAACTATTATAGTAATTCAACGTTTCCATGGGTTTTTATACTCTCAAAATGCTACAATAAAGCTAAGTTAGTAGGAAATAACATTATTACTCGCTGGGGCACTCTGTGCCTCAGACGAGTATAGGTTTCGGCTTCATGGATCTCCAATCATCGATAGCCACAAAATAGAATATTAATGAGCTGCCTAATTTTTCCCCAATTATCCATAAGACTCCTGCCAATTTTACCCAAATTATCCATAAATAACCCTGCATTTTGAGGAAAATTTGGGAAAATTGAACAATTTTACAAGGAATTTCGCACGGAAACAGCAACCTTCGCAAATCGCAAGTTTATACGTTTGGCTGCGCTGCTTTAATATATTTTGAGAAGAAAGTGACAACGTTCGATTCATCGTAAGAAATTGTACTCACAGATGTCAAATGTATTACTAAACAGCAGTATTCTAGCGATTTATGGCCTTTGAAAATCAAGCGAAATTGGTCAAATTGTATAATTGTTGACAAATCACTCGCACTACCTTTGTCCTTGTATTTGTAATGCCTCATGGCGCAATAACGATAAAAATATCACCGTTCGGTTCGGGGTAAGACATTGTACTAAACAATAGTATTCTAGCGATTTATGGTCTTTGTCTTTGAAAGACAAGCGAAATTGTATTGTTAACAAATCGCTCATACGGATGTCAAATGTATTATTACTAAACAACAGTAATCTAGCGATTTATGGCTTTGTCTTTGAAAGCCAAGCGAAATTGTATTGTTGATAACTTTGGTATCATTGGTTTTCTCTTTTTCGGCTGTATACCAGTGGATCCGTCTTACTTCTCTCTTCATTTTGATAGTATTTTGAGCCCAAAAGCCCCCAAATTAGTTTATTTTGAACGTTTTAAAGCGTAGTGAGCAGCCTAGCGCACGGACCAACTGGCGGCTGACAGTCTTGAAGAATGTAGCGTACTAAATATAACTTTACTTGTAGGGCCTACCGCATTTTAGTACTGTGTTAAGCCTTTTGCGCTCGTATTCGACTTTTTCGCTTAGTAATGTGCGTATTTGTATGACTTGTATAGCCCCAGCGGGTCAACGCTCCGCAGAGCGTCTTGTTTAGTTATAAAATAGTAAAGGAAATGCAAATATATTGACATAATAGCTATTTTTCAATAAAATATATTGATATTAAACTTATTGAATCAATATTTTAAGTTTTAGCCAATTGTACCAAACGTTTCGTGGTTTTGATCATGGTTTGATCATGGTTTCATGGTTTGATTTTGTGGTTTTGGTCACTTTGGGGTTCTTTTTTGAAAACGATGTGAAAAATCAAAGCAATCTTACAATATTTAACTGTGAATTAAATTATAATGATCATATTCACAATTATAATTATACAAATCCCTTATTCACTGCGAACAATCTCAGATCGATTCGGAAAAATGTAGTGCCCCAAGAATGGCGGCGTGAGAAAGCCTAATTCGCTCTGTACAACAGCCGTAAATTATTTTTATAAGTTATTTTATACTGCAATACATATCCTGTTATTGCAATATAGCGTTATCTATATACTTTCTATGATTTTGATGGTATGCAACATGTACGCACTGCGTACCTATTTTTATCACTCCTGGTCACTCGTTGTCACTCAATCGTGGTCAAGATTGAGTTAATAACTGATTATAGTCGTTGTACCAAATTGAGCGAGTAATTGAGCACTCGATATTGTGCAGCAAAAGTTGCAACGAAAAACAAATAAATTTGCATTCAATTAAAAAAACCTCCTGCTTTACTTTAAAAAAAAGTTAAAAGGTTAAGGGAAAGTACATTTATTATGCCGAGGGGGGGGGGATGAAGATGTTAAGGGGGGCACCGAAATGTTTTCTGGCATTAAAGGGGGGGCTCTGAAAGTTCTTGATATACTGAGAGGGGGGGGGGGCTCTAAATTTTTTAAAGTTTTGGTCCAGCAGGGGCCTGGAGGTTCACTCCCATCATAGTTAATAGAATAGATGGTTTGGAAACTCCCCCCTACTCAGAGCCCCCTACTGTGAAATTCAGGCAAAAATCATGTAAAATTCAAGTTAAAACATTACACCAACACAGAAAAAATCATGATTATTAGATTACATTGATATTGTAGAGAATATAGAGACCGACGTTATAGAGACTGACGTTAGCAAATATAGGTGGCGTGGACGAGCGTTGATCGATAGTTTTAAATCCGGACACTACAGGAAAGTTGTAAGACTGTTAATATTAATATATCTTAAGAAATAAATTATTACATTGGTGGCAGCGGCAAACAAAATATAAAGAATGTCTAGCGCTGAATTACTTCAAGAAATTGAGAGACTTACCAAGCGTGTTGAGGAACTGGAGAAGACAGAAAACGATGCGACGCCATCGTCGAGTTTAAACCTGCCCGTGGTTCAAGTAAATAATCAGAAAGCAAAGCCAGATAACTACTCGGACGGCCCGTGGAACGAGTGGATTAGTCACTTCAAGCTGTGTGCTCAGATAAACAACTGGGACGACACACAGTGTTGCCAACAGCTAGCTGTTTCTCTTCGCGGTAGAGCTCAGCGAATCTACTTGACGCTTCAAGATAACGAGAAGACGTGTTTTGACGACCTAGTGAACACATTACAGTCTAGAATTCAGCCAGACCAACAAAGGAAAATCCACAAGCTGACCTTCAATGCGAGGAAACGAAAACATGGGGAGAACATTGTAGATTTAGCAACTGATCTGCGACAACTCGCTGCACTGGCGTACCAAAACAAGGATAAGTCGCTTGTCGAGGAGGAACTCGTTGAACAATTTATCCGTGCCCTCGACAGTAAGGAACTACGTATCGGAGTGAGTCAAAGTGACCCAAAATCTCTCGATTCAGAACAATAAAAGTGGAGTTCTTGAGCCCATGGTGCGATTTGAAGAGCGCTATAAAACTGGAATATTGAAGGTTGCTGCAACGATACAGAATGGACAAATACCTGTGAGATTATTTAACCTCGGACCGAAAGGAAAAACAATTTACAAAGGAAGCACTGTTGGAGAATTTTGGCCATTGTTAGAAGATAAGAATACAGAAACGGAAAACTGCTACTTTATTGACACGCACATCATCGAGACTGATAAAAAGCTGATGAAAGGTGGAGGGCTTTGCTCGGTGGCAACGCCAAGTCTAGTGACAAAAGAAAATATGGACATGGTTAAAGAACTTTTTCCAATAGTAAACGATTCATTGTTAGAGAGCGAGAAAGAAAGCGTATACAAGGTACTAGCACGTCATACTGTAATAGTCTCGGAAAATAAAACGGACTTGGGAGAGGCGAGAGATGTCCAACACTTTATTAACACTGGTCAACATATCCCAGTTAAAGCTACACCGCGTAGATTTCCGTTTCATAAGCGTGAGGTTGTACGAGAAGAAGTGGAATCGATGCTTGCAAGCGACGTGATTGAACCTTCCACATCCCCTTGGTCGGCCCCGGTGGTGCTGGTGAGAAAAAAAGACGGGAGCGAGCGTTTCTGTATCGACTACCGTAAACTGAATGCGATTACGAAGAAGGATGTTTTCCCTCTACCGAGATGCGACGAAATATTAGAATCGCTTTCGGGGGCAGCCTACTTCACTCATCTGGATCTAGTGCGAGGTTATTGGCAAATCAAAGTCGCGGAGCAAGATCGCGAGAAAACAGCTTTCTCCACACCAGACGGACATTTTCAGTTTAAAAGAATGCCTTTTGGGTTGACTAATGCACCGGCAACATTTCAACGAGCTATGAATACGATTTTGGCGGGACTGTGCTGGACTGACTGTGTTGTATATTTGGATGACATTATTGTGAGTGGGAGGACACTAGAAGAGCACAATCAGCGTCTTGAGAACGTATTTAGCAAGATTAGAAACTGCAGGGTTGAAATTGAACGCAAGAAAATGTGAGTTTGTCCAACAGCGGAGTGTTATTTTAGGACATGTCGTTAGTAAGGAAGGGATCTCGACGGATCCCGATAAGGTGAAAGTCCTGGAGAAATGGCCTACTCCAAACAACCTATCGGACTTGCGTTCGTTCCTTGGCTGCACGGGTTACTACAGGCAATACATCCGGGATTACGCAAGAATTGCCGAACCACTTTATAGACTTGAACGAAAGGGAACGGTTTTCAAGTGGAACGACGATTGTCAGAAAGCATTCAACATTCTAAAGACAAAATTGATAACGGCCCCAATACTGACCTACCCGAGACTCGACATTCCTTTTATTCTTGATACTGATGCCTGTGATACGGGGATTGGAGCTGTGTTGTCACAACGCCATGGAGAAGACGAAAAGGTTATTGCCTATGCCGCCAGGTCCTTATCAAAAGCGGAAAGGAACTATAGTACTACTAGGAAAGAACTATTGGCCCTTGTATGGTCGATGGAACATTTCGCATCCTATCTAATAGGAAAACCATTCAGAGCACGTTCTGATCATAATGCACTGAGGTGGATAAGAAATTTTAAGCAACCTAAAGGACAAGTAGCACGATGGATTGAAAGATTGTCCGTTTTTGACTTTGAAATTGAACATAGACCTGGACGTAGTCATGGTAATGCTGATGGTGTATCACGTATACCTCAGGATACTCGTGAGGTACAGAGTGGCCACGTATGTAACGCATCGAATGGTAATGACGAAACGAGCCCGTGGTGTCTGCGCTGGACAGCGAAGGAACTGAGTTTGCATCAACACGAATATCCAGAGATTTGTCGCGCGATCGGATGGGTGAAAGACGGTAAGCGACCACCGAAGGAGGATATAACACGTATGGGTCCTCTAATGGGCAAACTTTGGAGCAAATTCGATCAATTGACGCTTGTTGATGGACTTTTGTATCGTATTTTCGAGAACGATAATGGTAATGACCGACATCTTCAAATTTGTTTACCACGAAAATTAATAAAAGAAGTTTTGGAGTTGACTCATGATATTCCCAGCGTGGGTCACCTCGGTTCTCAGAGGTTAAAAGAAGTGATAAAGAGAAGATGTTATTGCAGCGACTGGCAGTCAGATGTCGAGATGCATTGCAAGAATTGTCAGATATGCGCAGAACGAAATGGACCGTCGAGAAAACGACGCGGAATGATGGTATTGGATCAACCGGGATACCCAATGGAACGTGTTGCTATGGACATCATTGGACCACTACCTAAAACCCCTGATGGTAATCGATATATATTGGTGGTCGTGGACTATTTCACGAAATGGCCGGAGGCGTACGCGATTCCAAATCAAGAAGCACGTATCATTGCACAAAAATTGGTGGATGAGTGGATTTGTAGATATGGAATCATGCAGCGACTGCATACGGACCAGGGGAGAAATTTCGAAAGCGCGGTCTTCAAAGAGATAATCGATATTCTTGGGATAAAGAAAACCCGAACAACACCATACCACCCTCAAAGTGATGGCCTTGTTGAACGAATGAACCGGACTCTGAAAGATATTCTTTCAAAGTTGGTCAATGAACGTCAAGATGATTGGGACAGATGTTTACCTCAAGCATTGTTGGCGTACCGGTCCACCGTGCAAACCTCAACAGGGTTCTCTCCACATTTCTTGATGTTTGGAAGAGAAACAAGAATCCCAGTTGACCTAATGACACCTGAGCCCCCTCAAGCAGAAATACCACCGACTACATCAGAGTATGCGGAAAAATTGAGGAAACGTTTTGAAAGAACATACGAGTTGACCAGAGTAAATACAAAGAAATCTAGCGAGCGATATAAAGACTACTATGACGCGAAGGCGAAAGATACGACGTACAACGTCGGGGAAAAGTATGGTTGTATGTACCATTTGTCAAAAAGGGAAAGAATTTGAAGCTATCACGGCCGTGGCGGGGACCATATACGATTGTGAAGAAAATTTCAGATGTGGTGTATCGAATCGAGAAAAATGCCAACAAAAGGAATAGGTTAGTAGTCCATTACAATCGTCTTAAACCGTGTTTTGAACGACTGTTGAAAAGTCTACCTAATCGACCACCAAACGAGACGAAACTGCAATCGAAAGAAACCACCGAAACGAGAAAAGAAAACGTGGAGAATTGTAGTGGCCAAACCCCGCAAACGGAACCCCCAACCAACAGAGGAAATGATGAGGATGAGTGGACAGTGAGGTATTTTAGAAGAAATTTGAGACAAAGTAGACCAAGTCGGGCAATTAACGGGGAGGAACACGGACAAAATTTACCTGATGAGGTCCAAGAAGACGTACAACATTTACCTGACGAATTACAACAGGATGGGCCATTGAGTTCAATGGAACAGGATAATCAGAGAGACGGTAGCGACGA